CGGGCTCCTCAAAAGCTTCCTGATTATTTTCTTATACAGCGGGGCGGTCGGGTCCAGGCAGATTTTCCTCCCATTCTTCAGGGAAGCTCCGCCAGGGAAAGGCGTGTCGTTCAGGGGATGGATTTGAACACGGGATTAGGCACCGGGTGAAGGGAGGGCGAGGAGGGGGGCCGGGGGGTGATGAGGGGTGGGGAGGCGTGGGGTGAAGGGGTCAGGGGTGGGGAGGCGCGGGGTGAAGGGGGCAGGAGGCCGGGGGGGGGTGATCAGGGGTGGGGAGGTGCGGGGTGAAGGGGGCAGGAGGCCGGGGGGGGGGGTGACGAGGGGTGGGGAGGCGCGGGGTGAAGGGGGCAGGACGCGGGGGTGATGAGGGGTGGGGAGGCGCGGGGTGAAGGGGGCAGGAGGCGGGGGGTGATGAGGGGTGGGGAGGCGCGGGGTGAAGGGGGCAGGAGGCGGGGGGTGATGAGGGGTGGGGAGGCGCGGGGTGAAGGGGGCAGGAGGCGGGGGGTGATGAGGGTGGGGAGGCGCGGGGTGAAGGGGGCAGGAGGCGGGGGGTGATGAGGGGTGGGGAGGCGCGGGGTGAAGGGGGCAGGAGGCGGGGGGGTGATCAGGGGTGGGGAGGCGCGGAGTGAAGGGGCAGGGGCGCGGAGGAGGTGGAGCGTGGGCAGCGCAAGCAGCGAGCTCCAGGACTCTCATGGTTGGGGACCTGGGTCACCTGCCGGCTGCTGCCGTGCGGGGCACCTGGCCGTGGTCTCACACACACAGCGCAGGTCCTGGTGTCCCTCCGAGTGCACTGGGTGCAGCAGGGGCCGCTGGCTCCGTGAACCCCCAGACCTACCTTCGGGGTGAGTCTCGCGGCTTCTGGCTCTCATTTCCTCACCCGCAAATCTTATGTCCCGCAGAGAAGCGTCGGGGCTGCGGGCACAGGGCCCACCCGGGGAGTGCTCGGAGGGTGACAGAGGCCCAGAGGCCCCACCTGCTCTCTGCCCTCCCCCACGTCAGCTGTCACCTCTAGGGAGGGCGACCGCGCCCGCAGCCCTGGGCCCAGCCTGGGTCTGGGGGTGCGGGATCCCGCTGCGAGGCTCCTGCCCGGCAGGTGTCAGCCGCAGCCGCAGCCGCAGCGGAGCGCGAGGGCAGGGGCGGGTGCGGGGCGCGGGCTGGGGCTCTGCGGGCCAGGGGCTCCCGAGACCCTCCAGGCCTGTTTGACTCCCAGTGTCGGGAAGCCTGGGGTGGAGGCCGGGGAGGCTGAGACACTTCAGGAAGAGCTGGGCCCTGGGCAGCCAAGACTGGGCGGGGGAGCTGGATGCTGAGAGCAAGACCCTCCTCCCCAACCCCACCCTGAATTCACCGCGCAGTCAGAGGCAGCCCGCATGTGGCCTTTGGTGGCTGCTGTAGACTTCTCTGTGGTCACCAGCTGCAGGGGCAGAGCTGGAACCGTCACACCTGACACAGGCTGTTTCTTCCCGACTCCCGACTCAAGAACCGCATATTCCCACTTGCCTTTCCTACCGGTTACCACTCAGCTGCCTTGGGCGGCTGAGCTCGTTAAAGCTGTGTCCTTAGCAATTGTTTCCTTGCTGGCAAACAGTTGAATGTGGTCTTTATTTATTTATTATTTTATTTATTTATTCATGAGAGACAGAGAGAGAGAGAGAGAGGCAGAGACACAGGCAGAGGGAGAAGCAGGCTCCATGCAGGGAGCCTGACGTGGGACTCGATCCCGAGTCTCCAGGATCCCACCCTGGGCCGAAGGCAGCGCTAAACCACTGAGCCCCCCGGGCTGCCCTGAACGTGGTCTTTAGATGACGACTTAGTTCTGAGTTTGCCCCGGTTGTGGAAGCCTCCCTCAGTCTCTCTTGTACAGAATCTCTGCCGCCCTACCGGCCTTCACCGGATAAACTCTAGGGAGCAAAGTCTGCTTATCCTCATCCATCCTCTCACTCTGAGAAAAGTTGCGAAAGTCATATTTGAGTGCATTCTCTCTGTAGAAACTTGGTGCTTAGATGTATCTCCATTGGTCTGGGCCCAGAAATGAGATGAAGGAGGGGAGTTTGCAGGCCTGATGTGACCTGGACCAGTACTGGGCATCAGTTTAAGGCAGGCGGTACTGTTGGCCAGAGCATCAGGGAGTGGCGCGTGGAAAAGATTCAGAAGAGTGAATGGAGCATATGCAACAGAATCCCACACAGGAAAGGTCAAGGGATCAATATGAACCATCTTCCCTTTCCTGAAAAAGGATGACTTGGGCTCTTGATTAGGGCAAGGTATACCGTCACCTCAAAGCCAAAAGCTTTCTCTCACACTGATTAGCAGTGGGAAGGGCATCAGTAGCCCATTGCACGGACCTGGCTGGCTTTTTAATGCTCATCAGGACCAGACCTCTGCAGGGGGGTGCAGTTTGCTTCCTGGGCCTACAGTGTTCCTTCTCTTAGTGTCCCACCCACCGCCTGCCTATCCGCTGACCAAGTCCTTTTTGAATTTCTAGTGTCAGCCTGACATCACTTCCTCCAAGAGGCCTTTCCTGACAGCTACAGCTAATTGTGTTGTGTTTTGTAGCACCCTATGTATTTGTGATTTCTCACAGATCTTCCAAAAGTGCACACGTGTACATTTTATTTACTTATTTTAGAGAGAGAGAGAGAGAGAGAGAGAACACATGAGCAGGGGGAGGGGCAGAGGAGGGAGAAACATATCAAGCAGACTCCCTGCTGAGTGTAGAGCCTGATGTGGGGCTCCATCCCACAACCCCTGAGACCATGACCTGAGCAAAATCAGAGTTGGATGCTTAACCGACTGTGCCACCCAGGTGCCCTGCACATATGTACATTATACACACATGTATATGCATGTGTGTGAGTGTTTGAAAGTGTTTAAAATGTTTTGTCTCCCCAGATGGAAAGTTCTATAAGGTGAGAGAGATCATGACATTTATCACTCTTCTAGCACATGGGTAGGGACTTGATATAAAGTACTATATTCATGAAGATAGCAAATTTTGACAATGATGATGCTGAGGCTTTGACTTGTTTATGTGTCTGTCTCTTCATGCAGTTAGAGCATGTCTCCACTTTAGTATGTGTCTCGCATGGTTGTGATGATTTTTCAACCTAACTGCCTCTCCTACTAGACAGTGATCTCTTCAAGGACAATTCTCTGTGACTTACATTTTTTGAATAGCCAGCATCCAAAGCAATGGCTAATACAGAATATGCTATAAATTAGACAAGTTTATTGCATTAAAACTTGAGATCCCAAATAGTGTTTGTGGCAGAGGGAGCGGACAGAAGGGATGGTTTGGGATGTGGATGGGAGGGATACTGGATTTGTGCAAACTTACCCATGGATTTCAGTATTTGCAGGAAGTAGTAAGTGGCAATTAAATTATTCTTTCTCTGCATTAAATGAAACAGTTTAACATGTGTACACAAAAATAAAAGACATCTCCATCTTAGGAGGTATAGCAGTGAAGAAACTGTGTCATGTCTCAGGAGCTGGAGCTGTTGGATTTCAGTAGGAAACCACTATAGAAATGAATGAGATGTCTGAACTATTTTGATTTATTGGAGAAAAACTAATGAAAATGACTGCAATCCCCATTTACTGCTTTGTTACATGTATATGTCATATATATATACACACACACACACACACAATTGTTAGCTATTAACAAATACATTTATTTTGCAGACAAAACATTTTAAGTTACTGAGCCTATGATGAGAAGATAATAAAAAGAGATCTTAATATATAAAATTTGTAAACTAAATGCTTAATACATGAATGTTCCCCAAAATCCATCCAGAGGTTGGGGTTGATGACCTTATTTCTTCTACTATAATCATCACAGTATGCTACTTATTATGATCAGGTCCTATTTTGTTTGCCAGTGACATTGCGTGACACGTAATGTAATCTCTACTAGAGAAAGAAGAATCAAGGAGAGTGGTGTGGTGGTTAAAAGCAGAGTTTCAAACCCCCACTCTGTCACCTACTTAGTTATCTGACTTTGAAAGAAATTTCCTAATCTTTCTGAACTTTAGTTTTCTTCCCTATAACACCTGGGATGCTAATAGTAATAAAAACAAATAGTTACCCATTTATATATGGGCTATAATGTGATATGCATTACTTCTAGCCCTCTGAATTTATTAACTCTTAATTTTCACATCAACTGTGTGAGATAAATAATGCTATTATCCCCTTTTAGAAATGAAGAAACTAAGGCACAGAAAGGTCGTGCAACTTTCCCAAAGTCACACAGCTAGCAAGTGGTAGAGTTATTTATCCAATTATTCTCTCTGCAGAGGATGTCCTCTTAACCAGATCACAGCTATCTTGTGAGAATTATTTAATTCATTCTTACAGAACACTCAATATGCCTGGTATATTGAAACTTATCAATAAAGTTCAGCTGTTATTATAATACATTTAAAATGACACAAATCATCAACTAGCCATTTTGCTTGCTATACTGTGGAATGTTGAGGTGTAAAAAAAAAGGTAATTAAGGCATTTTTCCTCCAACAATTCTGTTAAAATTAATATATGACAACAAAGCAATAACAAATTTTGATTTCCTGTTAACACTTGTGTAAGAATAGTGTGGGTGTAAATTTAAGGGATTAAGAAATACCAGAGGGAAGGGGAAGAGAATGGGCAAAGCAGATGAAGGGGGACAGGAAGTAGAGGCTTCCAGTTATGGAATGAGTAGACCATTGGAACAAAAGACACAGTATAGGGAATATAGTCAATGATGTCGTAATAGTGTTGTAACAGTGTCATAACATCACAGATGGTACTTGTGCACACGGCATAAGGTATTGGGAAGTGTGATCACTCCGCTGAAATGAATGCAACATTGGGTGTCAGCTGTATTCAAATAAAAACAATCTTAAAAAGAATGAAAGTTCTGTTGATTATAAAATAGTAATTAGAAGTCTGATAAGGTTTACATTTTTTATTTCACTCAATTCACAAGGTTGACTCTAATACTAAAATTGTAACCAGGCAGATATTAAGTGAATGCAAATACATAGAAACATGATTGGTTAAAACATTTAACACCATATTACACCTGTATTGTTATTAGTATTATTATTGAAAATGCTGAAATCTTTAAAAATAGAGAATATTAATGTTTTTCATCATTTATTTTTTTATTCCACTAGGATTAAATATATTCTCTTTAAAATAAATCACCTCTGCTTACAAGGCTCACATTATCCAACTTTATTATTTTGGGGTTTGAAGGTTAAAATAAACACTTAAAAGCTCTTTCAGAAAATGCTTTGAAAGAAGACATCCTAAGATTAAGACAATGAAAAACTCTATTATGTGCCTAAATTGTGCCTAAATTAATTAACAAACATTTATTGAACAAATGCTCTATTCCGGGCTCTGTGCAATTCCTAATATCATTGACCATTATGGAATCTGTTAATCATCATGGGCATAGCTAGTCTAACCAGTAAAGTACAACCAGATAAGTTAACACACATGCAAGTATTTGAAAAGAAAATTTTAAATAAAGGAATGCAAAGCAAGGGGCCACATTTAACCAAGAGTTAGAGAATAAACCAGACACTATATTTCGAATGTAAGTTTGCTTATTGTCGCCTTCTCTTTGGATCTATTAACCAGCCTTCTCAGAATACCATGCGACTTTTTGAGGCAGAATAGAAAACATATCCAAAGTTTCATACAACGTAAATAGGTATTTTGGATAAATAAGAACTCCAGAGAGTCAAGCCTTGAAACTCCGACCATTCGTGGGGGATAAAAGAGTTTGACAGAACGAGAACAGGTCATGCCGTTCACTCAGCACTTTCCAAAATTTTCTGGACTATTCTCTTGATTTTGGGAGCTTCTGGGTCCAGGCAGATTCTCTTCCCATTCTTCAGCATGGCTCTGAAAGAGGGAATGGAATTCTGTGTGAGGGACGCCTGAGAATATTCATTCAGCAGTTTGGGGCCTGCCTTCTGCCCAAGGCATGATCCTGAAGTCCCAGGGTCGAGTCCCACATTGGGCTCCCTGCATGGAACCTGCTTCTCCCTCTGCCTGTGTCTCTGCCTCTCTCTCTCTCTCTGTGTGTGTCTCTCATGAATAAATAAATAAAATTTTAAGAAAAAAAAAAAAAGGAATTCTGTGTGAGTGTCCTGCCATGACTCTCCGAGGGGATCCATGGGGCTGGGGTAATATAGGTTTCCCTAACTCTCAATGAGACAATGATATGGAAGCAAGGACTTACATCACTTCGACGTTGGCACAGTGGGGTCCTGCTCTGAGCACCTCCAAATTTTGGATGTTACTTGGATGAATGCCAGAGACAGTCTTTGTACACATGCAACGAAGTTCCAAGAACCGCTCACAGTCCACACTCTTAGCTGGAGTAGAAAATGTGGCTCTATTAGTGGTCACGGTTATGGTGAAGACCCTATCTCTTGACTTGTTTCCTTAGTCCCCTTATTCGTTAGCTGGCTCTCACAGAGCCGCTGTGTACATGATCTTCAAACCTTCGGTCAAGTACCTAAGCAGAGCGCCTGGCACATGTTAAGTGCCCACGAAGCACAACCTCGCCACTTAGAGTTATCAGTATAAAGACCGTCTCCAGCCCCAGGAGAACCAGGGCAGGCTTTCCCCCATACACTGCTGCAGCAGAAGCAACCACAGCTGCAGAGCAGCAGACACCCCACCCTCAGTTTTCCTGCCTTTCTCTTACTTTCTCCAGCAGTCGAGGGGATGAGTGTAGCCAGGAGCAGGGACAGCAGTAGCAGCCCCTGTAGGACCTGGAGAGTGCTGGCGTTGGTACAGGAGGAGGTGGCCTTAGGTCTGAGGTTCATGGTGGGGAAGACCAAGCTACAGCTGTTCCTAGAAGCCGGAGACCTCAGAGTGAGGGTGAGCTGCTGCCCAGGAGTCTGCAACAATGTGCTTTTTCACGCTCTCCCGATGCCTTTTATACGAGCTCCCTCAATGCTAGTAAGGAGCAAAAAGATAGGGAAGGAGAAGTGAGGGTGTGTGGAGATACATGTGGAAGGGTGGTCAAGTTGTGCCCAACTCAGATAAACACCAGGCGGGGCAGGGTTCCTGCTGAATTTCATTTTTGCTTCCCTTTGTAGCCTCCCTCTCCTTTTCTCAGTCCCTATCTCCTCTACACAAATATTACCTCCCACTTAGGAAGGTAAGAACCAGACGAAGTATTACACGTATTTTATGGGTATAACTGTGTAGATGATGCTCTGCCTTTCCTACAAGCAATTGGTAGGCTCATGAGACACTTTATGACTATCTTGAAGCATAAATATGGGGCTCTCTCTGGTTGCCAAGGAAGGCAGATGTTCTAACTTGGTTGTTGATAAATGTTAGGATTTGTTTGTAGTATGTGGCTAAAATATGAGCTAATAGCCATAAAAGGCTCACTTTGCCTTGCACATATTAGTTTATGGGCTGCTTTCTGTTTCCCAAATGTATTATCATTTTTTTTATCATTTCATCCAGAAACCAGAAGAGAAACAAACTCATCCTTCCTTGTGTTATAAAATAAACTGCTTATTTCTGCCATCTGAGCCTACCTTAAAAAGCAAGACTCAGCGTATTTGTTTTTTTTCTTTTATTTTTAATATTACGGGGAAATATGTAATATAATTTATCATAAGAGATTCATACACTGCAGATGTATGCGGAATAAAAAAGTGCAAGTTTCTCTTCACCATTGTTCTACATCCTCACTTTCCAGTGGAAACCTTTGGCAACCATTTGGCTTTAGTTTTCTATTCTCTCTGCATTTATACACACATGTGTGCAAGCATCTACATGGAGAGAGTGTGTGAGGGAGAGACTGAGAAAGAGAGAAGGAGCAGGGGGAGGGGCAGAGGGAGAAGGAGAAACAGGCCCCCCACTGAGCAGGACCCCCCCACCCCTCCCTCAAGGGGCTCAATTTGGGGACTCCAGGATCAGCACTTGTTCCAAAGGAAGACAGACGCTTGGCCCACTCAGCCACCCGGACACCCTTCTTTCTTTTTTAATCAGATACAGTCCTCAAGATGAACTCCACGTGGTCCCAAGTACCTAAGGGATAAAAAAGATGATTTAAAAGCTGGGAATAAAGGATGGAGTTCAGGCCTCGAGCTGTCTTCTTATTCAACTATGTACAAATCTTATACATTAGTATTTAAACTTCCCTTTTTTTTGCCTACTTTTTTATACCTTTAAAATTCTGAAAGAAACTCTCAAAATATTCGAATGTACAAAACTACTTTTTTTTTAATCAAAAGAATGAATATAGTAGATTATTTTTTCCAATCTTTTTGTTTTTTTTTTGACTTTTCAGCCAGTTTCCCCGTTGTGGAACAGTGACTGACTGACAATACCTCCTTCAGCTCATGAGCCCTGTCCTGTGAGTGTATTTCTCCTTTTTCTCACCCCATTTGTTTTCTTCTTGTAACTTCCAGCTGAGCAGTAGAACATCTTAAAATGGTTTTCCACCTCTCCCAACTCAGAAATTCATAGTCTAAGAAACAAGCTCAAGGAAAAAGCTCAGATGTGGAGAGAACCGGGGAGAGGATCTCAGCAGGAAGCAGAGTGAGGAGGGGGGACTTCCTCCCGGCTCTCCCTGGGCCAGGACTTGATCCTCTTCCCCCATTATTGTGATTGAAATGCGATTAATTCTCAGGTCAGATATTTTTATTCAAATGTAAGCTCGAAACCACCTCCAGAGCAAGATACAAAGACATTCTTTTATTTTTTAATTTTTTTTTAATTTATTTATGAGAGTCACAGAGAGAGAGAGATTGAGGCAGAGACACAGGCAGAGGGAGAAGCAGGCTCCATGCACCGGGAGCCCGACGTGGGATTCGATCCCGGGTCTCCAGGATCACACCCTGGGCCCAAGGCAGGCGCCAAACCACTGCGCCACCCAGGGATCCCAAGACATTCTTTTAAAGTATCATAGGATCTTTCTTCTTCCATCCACCATATCCCCCAATGTACTGTTTGCTGTATTTATTGGCTTCACTCGACACATTTCCCCTCATAGACATATTCTATCCGACTTTCTTTCCTGGTTCATCTAGTACCAGGAAAGAGGTAGGCACGTAGCAGAGTATCATTAAGTCATTGTCTTAATCAACAAATTTGTCACAAAAGACACATTGTCAGCAAGGTTCAGAGGAAGCATTAACAAATTTCTTGAGTCATTAAAATTTCACAAGCCTATTAGTCGGCATTTGAGGTAAATGACATTTTGCTGGTTTTCATTGATTCGATAAATATTAAGTATCTACCATGTGCCAGGCGTTTAAAAGTTCTCTTTGTTGTGTGACCCGGTCACTTAACTATTTCTTTTTTAAAAGTGACACCTCAAATATTCGTGCAAAGCAGTGGGAGCAGCAATACTAATCTGCTATTGCTTGTACTATAAAAGGTATTTTGAAATCAGTCATTCAACCAAAAGAAGCCGGCTTAGACAAAATAGTATGTCTAAGCAAATGCTAGCAATTAGTGTCAAGATTCTGAGGTTTTAAAATAAACTTGACAGCCTTTTTATCAATCTGACATTGTCATATGCTGTTTTATTTCATCTCATTTCATTTTGTGGTGAGTTACTTTATCTTTTTTTTCCTTTAAGTCATTGTAGAAGTAGCAGAGTCATAGAGTCGTCATTCGGGAAACTAGCAAGTTTACTATAGCTCAAAACAACTTATCTGTTAGCTATTTTATTTTTATTTTTTAATTTTTTTTCTGTTAGCTATTTTAAAAGAAAATATCTAAAGACATTGGAGGAGCATAATCCGTGAAAGTTAAGACACACATTAACTCTGTCTTACACGAAAGATCTTGAACTGGCATCTCCCAAGTATGAAAGAAATAAGCTATCATTTGAAAATTGATCATAAAAGCAATTGGTACAGAAGGTCCTAGGGAGAACGCAATTTTAGGTCTTGCTGTTCAAGGGCCTTAAACATAAATTAAAATACTAGCCGATGAAAGATTTCCTCTAGGTGCTGAAACTAAGTAAGTTTTCTGTATCATTCGGAGTTGACAAGAATGATCCAGACCTTAATTACTCTGGCACTCAAGTCAATTGAGGCTGGATACTGCCCAGAGGTGGAATGAGGGTAGGGTGGCAGAGGGAAGGAAGGAGGGTGGGGAAAGAATGGAGTGGCCCGGCTTTCCTGGGTGCTCACTCACTGCAAGGTTTTGCAGGCCTGAGAATTTCCACCTTGACTTTATGTTTGGTGAATACCACCCGTTGAACATCAACCGGATAATGATATTCTTATGTAACAAGCCAATCCCAGAGTCAGTGGCTTGGAGCAACAACTTACTATTTCTGATCATTCGGTATGTTAATGAAGTGAGGTTCTTCTACCTCGCTTAGGTAGGTGTAGTCAAGGACCCCTGGAGAGGCTGAGACCTCCACGCCTGCGGGGTGGGCCCTGGGCTGGCTGCTGGCCCAGCTTCCTGCCAGGGCACCTTCATCCTCCTGCTTCTTCTCTGTCAAGTTGCATTGTTTTACTTCTCAGAAGTACGTGGAGAGCTGGAAGGAAGGTAGAAAGGAGGCAAACAGAGAAGGAGGGAGGGAGGAGACAGGAGAGCTGGGAAGGGAAAGGATAGAAGAAAAGAGAGAAAAAAAGAAAATTTAAGACTCAAGTCCTCGACTCTCCTCCTATCCCTTCTCCTCCCATCCTCTCCTTCTTGTCCCCTCCGCACCCCACCCCCTCTCCATCACCCCTCCTTTCCTCCCTGCCTCTCCCCTTCTCTGACCTTTCCTTCCCCTCCTGCCCTCCCCTCCCCTGCCCTGAAGCTCGGATGGATGCACCTCCTAGGTCGTTCCCTTTCAGGGGCTCTCTCCGGGTGGTACATCAGAGCTGGGCCCAGTGCTGTGAACCTGGGCCGCAGGCAGCTCCCAGGAGGCCTTCTCTGGGCACAGCCCAGGGCCTGAGGGAAGTGTCTCACCCCAAGCTGTGCCTGCACATCTGCCCAGAGGTAGCCGCATCCAGCGACTGGTCAGTAGGGACAGAGGCCTGCTCCCCTGCCTCAATTCAGAATAGCTCTGAAAGGCTACCCCAGCTCCAGAGCTCCTCAGAGCGGCCCCTGAATCTTCGGCGGTAACAGCAGCTCTTCCTGCAACCCCAGACCCCAGACCCCACCGTTTCTTTACTTCCTGACAGATGGTAATTTTTAGAGCTCTCCCCAGTAAACTTCCTGCACACAAATGTCCCCTCAGAGTTGGATTCCAGGGAATCCCACCTAAGAGACTCTTCCTTCCTCTTGAAAAAAAGTTAGTCCCTTTTCTTTCTTTTTTTTTTTCTTTCTTTCTTTTTTTCTTTCTTTCTTCTTTCTTTCTTTCTTTCTTTCTTTCTTTCTTTCTTTCTTTCTTTCTTTCTTCTTTCTTCTTCTTTTTTTTTAAGATTTTATTTATTTATTCATGATAGACAGAGAGAGAGAGAGGCAGAGACACAGGCAGAGGGAGAAGCAGGCTTCAGGCCGACACAGGACCCCATCCCCGGACTCCAGGATCACATCCCGGGCCAAAGGCAGGCGCTAAACTGCTGAGCCACCAGGGATCCCAGCTAGTCCCTTTTCATTCAGCATCCAAGTAAAGCTTTGTCAGAGAGAACTCAGTATATTGGCTGCCAAAAGGCCTCAAGGCCGAAGGCTTCTCATTTTTGTCATTTCCATATAATGAGTCTCCTGGACTCGGTCTAGTACCTAACAAGATTATCAACAAATGGGTATTGACGGATGAATATTTACAAGAAGGAAAACACACCATACATCTTGGTAATGCTAACACATGAATGACAGAAAATAAAGAGTATGTATACATTGTTTCCAGAACCTTCCTAAAAAAAAAAAAAAAAACTGGTGGAAACAAATTCTTAGGTGCACGAAACATTAATCATTCATGCATCAACAGAAAGAATATAGATACTGTTGGGAAAAAATGATGGCATTTAAACTACAGGGCCCTAGTTTTCAGAGTTTGAAATAGGAGAGAGGAACCATTTGTCAAGTATCTACTTTGTTCTAGGATTAGCCCTTGGTGCCTGTCAGTTGGATATTTTTGTACAGATTTTACAGATGAGAAAACTGAAAAATGGAGATGTTAAATAAATTGCCAAGGTCAAATAGCTGGAAGTGCTCACAATGAGATTTGAAACACAATCACTCTGACTTTGTACTGTACCATAAAGGGTAAAGAATGATCACTGGCCTCCCTGGCTAGAAATGGGTTAGCCATTTTTTTTCTTTGTTCAACCTAGAGGTGGGTCAGAAAACAAGCATCCCACACTGATGGGGCAGCAGAATCACATCTATGGAGAATATGGATTTTTGAGAGGAGGAAGGGGTTCTTGAAATTTTTCAATATCTAAGAGACGAGACTCAAGGGGCGCCTGGGTGGCTCGGTAGGTTAAGGGTCTGCCTTCCACTCAGGTCCTGATCTTAGGTCTTGGGATCCTGCCCCAAGTTGGGCTCTCTGCTCTTGGGGGAGTCAGCTTCTCCCTCTGCCTCTCTCTGCCGCTCTTCCTGCTTGTGCTCTCTTTCTCTGTGTCAAATAAATAAAATCTTAAAAAAGAAATTGAGCTCTAGACTTTGTAGAAACAAAATTTTGCACGTAAACTCTAGATCTTTCGATGTCATTATGAACAATCCTTTTCGGGAATATAATATCAATTCTGCTGACTAAAAGCAAACCGAGACTGTCAGCCAAAATCAGAATCATGTGCACTCTGCTTGTCTTCTGTGATTCAGCCCGGGAGGCAAATCAAAATTCCCAGGTGCTCATTCTGTGTGGACAATTTCTCAATTTGTAACATCCAGGAAGGACTTTTGAAGTTGCGTACAATATGAGAGTTACCCACACCAATTCTTTTCCTTATACAAGAATTAAAAGTATGATAGAATAACAAAGCCACGAGTCAGATTTGATCATAGATCTTGTCATACCTTCAGGAATTGAAGGATTATGTGAATGTGTCACACCCAGACGCAAACAGGAAAATGTGGTAAAATGAAAGGCCTTGATTAAACATGGAAAATTGTCTGGTTTGGGGCAGTAACAGATATTTTCGCTGACCTTTTGTTTAAGTTCTAGTGATTTCATAACTCACAGTGAGTTTCAGGTGGATAACAGAAGAAATGTAGTGTTTAGGAGTTTACATGAGGAAAACATAAGGTATATCCCTAGAAGACCTTCACTGGGTTAATTTTCCCCAAACATGTTAATCCTTGAATTTGCTAGTGGCAGGATCAATGGTAATAGTTGGGCTAGTGAGTAGTAGCTGTCACTGAGGTTCTTGGATAGGTTATATATTTCAGTGATAGAATCTTTGTTTAAAAAAAGTTTTTATTTATTTATTTGAGAGACAGAGAGTGAGAGACAGCACAACCTGGGGGGAGAGGGGCAGAGGGTGAGGGAGAAGCAGATACCCCAAGCCCAATGAGGCTCTATCCCAAAACCCCAGGATCATGAGCTGACCTGAAGGCATCCCTCAGTGATATAATCTATTTTTTTTTTTTTTAGAACAATGAATTATAACATGAGTATGGCAAACAATCGCAAATGAGGACTCCTTCTGTGGTCTGTAAACAAACTAAACCTACAAATCTTGCTTCTGGAAAAACAAAGGTCTTGAATGATGACAAAGAAAAAAAAGTAATCAGTAATGTTTATTTCTTCACAGAACATTCATTTCACCTTTTCGAAGGACATGTAATATGCTTTCATTTATTAATGTCAGGCACTTACTCAATGAGTATTTTGGGGCTGATATGAAAAATCAGAGATTGTTTAAAACACTTAAATTTATAGTCTGCACATCTATGGTAATTTGGCTTGTTTTGTTAGTTTTCCTAATACTAGTGTATGATTCATAGGTTCAAAGGAAAAAGGTTAGAGAAAGTAAAGATACCACAGAAGTTTAATGATCTTTTAAAAAATTTGGAGGTAGTTTGTGCTTTTCTCTACTGCTAAAAACTTTTGCCAGCAAATCACCTCTGAGTTTTTCCATATCTTTTTATCTTCCTGTCTTTTCTCATTTTTTCTGTCATATAGAAATATTGCTATAATTAATATACTATATTAATATGTTAATAACATATAAGAATCTAATTGGTATTTTACATATAAGGAGAGATGAAAAGATGTAGAGTAACATAATTTAGATATAGATTTGCTGATAATACATTAGTACGTGCTAATAAATACGTATGTGTCAGTATAAGCATATATATTAACCCAGTTGAGGTATGTATATATATGCATATCAATTGGATTAGTTTCCTTCCTTCCATTTTCTTGCTTTTCCTAAGAATGAGCTATTTACATGAAATTGCTAGAGTTTTGTTTGTTTGTTTTTAAAGATTTTTAAAACTTGTTTATTCATGAGAGACACAGATTGAGGCAGAGGGAGAAGCAGGCTCCCTGTGGGAAGCCCAATGAGGGACTTGATCCCAAGATCCCGGGGACATGCCCTAAGCCAAAGTCAGACGCTCAACCACTGAACCACCCAGGTTTATCAAAATTGTTTTGATCCTGAGAGACAGTGGGTCTCATTTAGCTTGGAACATTCTTCTGCTTAAGCACCTACTATGTGCCTGGCAGTGTCCTAAAAAGAGAGATGAATGTGACCTGACCTCATACAGCTTACAGTGAAGTTGGATAGACACTAAGTAAATGACCCTATGTATATAATGTCTCCGTGGATTCTACAGTCATGTCAGTGACAAAATGTTAAAAGGAAAGGAACAAAAAAATAAAAATAAAAATAGAAATAAAAAAATAAAAGGAAAGGAACAAAATGATGAGAGGATATAAAAGAGGCCTTCATCTGGTAAGGGCAATGACCAGTGAGGCCCTAGGTGACAGATAAACTGATCTGGAAGTAAGGCTGGAGTTAGCCAGGTAAAAGTGAGAGGCGGTTGTTGTTGGTTGAGGGGACTGAACCTACCAAAGCTGTCTTTGGATTACTTGTAGATGAAAAGGAGGAAAGAGAATAAAGGAATTATAACTTCTTCACCACCACGGTCGAGCAGGTTACTGATGTTAGGACACAGCCTGGTAACCTGAGGTTCACGATACTTTATGAACTCATTAGGCCACCCTGTGTTCAGGTACTGAGGCAGAGATAAATGACATATGGCTGAGGATCTAGGAGAACTTGTAGAATAATGAAGCCTACAAACCAAAACCCCCCACAATACTAATATTTGCTATTCAAAGAAATTCAAATACCTAGAAGATGCTGGGAGGCCAGCAAAATGGAAACCAGGAGTTCCTCCTGGAGTCTCAATGGAAAATTTCCTGAAGGAAACATTGCTTGAGCTGAGTTCTAAAGGATGAGCAAGCTTTCTCCTATAGGCGGAAAGTGAAAAGGCCCTTCCAGGTAGAGGTGCTAGCACAACCAAAGGTGTGGACCCAACAAAGAACACGCACAGTTAGGGGACTGAGTTCCTGACTTGCACGGATGCAGGGGAAATGGGGACATTGAAGTAGTAATCAGCAAGGGTGGCCTCATGAGACAGAATCCAATCTGCCATCCTTTGCAACTGTGATATGTCTAGAAAACAGGGAGCCCATTAAGAATTTAAGGTAAGGAAGTCTTACCTTAAATTTGTGGTTTCTTTCTTTTTTAAAAAAACAATTTTATTTATTCATGAGAGACATAGAGGCAGAGACATGGGCAGAGGGAGAAGCAGGCTCCTTGCAGGGAGCCCGACGTAGGACTAGATCCCAGGACTCCAGGATCACGACCGCTGAGCCACCCAGGTATCCCAAATTTGTGTTTTCTAAACAACCTGAAGGCTGTTGGGGCTCTGAAGGAGTAACTGGAAGGGGCCTAAGCTTGGAGAAAGGTGGAACTAATGCAATGACCCTGGGAAATGAGGGTCCTCTCTGCTAGCCAGAAGGTAGCATAGTTATTTTTAAGATAATGTGGAATTAAAACAACAGAAACTTTGTAATAGTATAAGAAGGAAGAAACAACCAAAATAAATTTTATAAATCTTTTTTTTTTTTTCCTGAGAAGTGCTATAAACCAGTGAGACACGCAACAAAAAGTTATTTTCACATAGTAAGTGTGAGGTCTTTTTTTTTTTTTTTAAGATTTTATTTGTGAGAGACACAGAGACACAGGCAGAGGGAGAAGCAGACTCCGTGCGGGGAGCCCGATGTGGGACTTGATCCCAGGACTCCAGGACACACACCCTGGGCCAAAGGCAGAGGCTTAACCGCTAAGCCACTCAGGCATCCCCGTGAGTGTGATAATAGATAATATAACATATATTATAATAGATAATATCCTTATACAAAATCGTCAAATCCTTAACCTATGCATATTTTTTTGTAAATTAAATGTGAATCTACATTTAAATAGCTCACATATATTTTCAAAACTTGCTGAGTACAAATCATTGTTAAATTTGCCTTTATTCCTGAAAAATGCAAATAATGCATTTCCATAAAAACTAGAAATAGGGAATTTGCCTATTTCCTAGCTTTTTCATCTATCCAAAACATATATTTAGTGACTAGAATTATAGTATTCCTAGTAAAATGGTTAATTCACACCATAAAATCAACGTTTAATGAGTAAGTCATGACATTATGCCATACTAAGAAGACATCAGATGTCTAAAATTATAGGAAAATACTATATTAGTCCTTATAGAACTTAGACGTTTAAAAGTTCTAAATAAGGAACTATAGTTTATACACATAACTGCATGATACACCAGCTTTTTAAGGCAATTTAGCATTCCGGAGCCAAGAGCATCCTCCTAACATATTCCCCAAGAAACGATACCAAAGTATTTCCTATTTCCTGAGGAGTGAAGATAACAATTTATCTCCATATAGTGCATGTAATGAAATATCATTCACATATTAAATCCACAGCCTTCTCAGTGATATCATAAGGAACGCACTCTAAAAATAAAGTTGTTACCTTGAAAGCTTAGAAAGCACTGATTGATTCTTGACTCACGATTTAGTCAATCGCCAAAGATTTCAATAGCATGGCAGATAAAATAACGGCAAATAAATACTGTGTTAAATATTTCATGAGCTGAGTATTAAACTGGAAGGACAAACACAGGTCATCCCCTCCCCCGAAGTGGGGGATTTGGGAAGGAGCCTAACTCGTCTGCGAAACCTGGTCCTCACTTCTTGTCTTCACGGAATCTCGAGACACCTGGAAAGCACTTCTAAGGGCCTGGGCAGTTCTTCCAAGGCATGGTCCTTTCTCTTAATCAGTTTTTCTTCCGCTGTTGAGAAAAGAACCCTAGCAGTTCAAGCGATTTCCACCCTCCTGCCTGCTCCAACCTGTTTTCAAAACACTGAGCTTAAGGTCAATGGAAGAAGCCAAGGTCTCAAGGGTCTCAAGGACTGGATTAACCACAGAAATGCTTCTCAGTGATGAGCCCTCTGGAATCCCTTAGGCAATTACATGCGACATCCCAGGACAACTTTCCCCCTTTCTCTTGAAAGGTCTTTTATTCTAAGCCTGATCTGGAATGTGGCAGGCAAATCCCACGCAGAGGGGGAAAAAAAAAAATCTTGTGAGGTCTGCACTCTCAAAAGAGACTTAAAAAGCTCCAAGATCAAGGCAACAGTGTACCTGTCCAGAATCTTCTGGATGACCTTCTTCAACACTGGGGTCTCTGGGTCCAGGCACACTTCCCTCTTGTTCTTCAGGGTGGCTCTGCAGAAGAGAGGGACAACAACCACAACAGAGGGTGAGCCCTTGGGCCACGAGGGCCGAACGCTCGGGCAGAGGCGCTTCTCTCCTCTGGAGGTCGCGCGGGGCGCCGCAGGCGCCAGGACTTACATGACCTCCACCTTGGGGCACTGGGGGCCGGCGGCGACCACCTGCACTTTAGCGATCATTCTGGGATGAATGCCCGGTGTGGCGGTCAGACACACGCAGCGCAGCTCCCTCACGAGGGTAGCGACAGGACCGGCTGGGGACAGAGAGACGCCGTTACGGGCAGGTCGGGGCTGCGCGCCCTCCCCAGCGCCCCGCGCCCCCAGCGCCCCGCGCCCCCAGCGCCCCGCGCCCTCCCCAGCGCCCCGTGCGCCCCCAGCGCCCCGCGCCCTCCCCAGCGCCCCGTGCGCCCCCAGCGCCCCGCGCCCTCCCCAGCATCCGCGCCCTCCCCAGCGCCCCGCGCGCCCCCAGCGCCCCGCTCCCTCCCCAGCGCCCCGTGCGCCCCCAGCGCCCCGCTCCCTCCCCAGCGCCCCGTGCGCCCCCAGCGCCCCGCGCTCTCCCCAGCATCCGCGCCCTCCCCAGCGCCCCTCTCCCTCCCCAGCACCCGCGCCTTCCCCAGCGCCCCGCTCCCTCCCCAGCGCCCGCGCCCTCCCCAGCGCCCCGTGCGCCCCCAGCGCCCCGCGCCCTCCCCAGCGCCCGCTCCCTCCCCAGCGCCCCGTGCGCCCTCCCCAGTGCCCCGCGCGCCCCCAGCGCCCCGCTCCCTCCCCAGAGCCCCGTGCGCCCCCAGCGCCCCGCGCTCTCCCCAGCATCCGCGCCCTCCCCAGCGCCCCGCTCCCTCCCCAGCGCCCGCGCCCTCCCCAGCGCCCCGCGCCCTCCCCAGCGCCCCGCGCCCTCTCCAGCGCCCGCGCCCTCCCCAGCGCCCCGCGCCCCGCGCGCTCTCACCGCTGCCCAGGGGCCCTGGCGGCGTCACCAACAGCAGCAGGAGCAGCGCGCAGAGCCAGCCCGGCAGGCGGGGGACGCGGGGGGCGCAGGGGGCGCGGGCGGGCGGGAGGCTCATCGCGGCCACAGGCGCTGCACGGGGCGCGGGCTCTAGAGGCGAGGCGGGGCGGGGCGGCGCGCGGAGCTCCAGCGCACTGCGGCTCCCCCGAGCCCTCCGCACCCCTTTTATCTGCACGGGCCCCTGCCCCCAGGCAGGAAACTCCAGCTTCGGGATGCTTGGGACATTCCCGGGATGCGGGGGGCGGGGTGGAGGGGGCTGAGCCGCGGGAGCCGAGGGGGAGGGCGGCGGGGAGGAGCTGCCCGTGCCACCTGCGCGCTGGGCTCCGCAGGGGGTTCACCCCTAGGCCAGCCGGGTCAGCGAAGGCCACTCCTCCTTCGGGGGACAGAGCCCTGGGGGAGAAGCCCCTCGCTTCCATCTAAGGAGGAGGACTGGAATCGAACGGACAAGTTTGACTTTGGAAAAATGTCTAAGCGGCCTAATTTATCACCATCATCGTCATCACCGTTCAGGAAACGTAAGCTGTGATCAGAACTGCTCAAGGCAGGGGTCCCCCGGGGGCGCAGCGGTTTGGCGCCTGCCTTTGGCCCGGGGCGCGATCCTGGAGACCCGGGATCGAATCCCACGTCGGGCTCCCGGTGCATGGAGCCTGCTTCTCCCTCTGCCTGTGTCTCCGCCCCCCCCCTCCCCCCCCCCTGTGACTATCATAAATAATAAATAAAAGAAAAAAAAATAAAAGAAAAAAAGAACTGCCCTAGACAGAAAGTCTTTCCTCTTCTGCTTGCAGGTAGGTCATTGCAGGTTTCTCGAATTAACTTAGGATTCTTTGGCCTTCAGCTAGCTCTAAAGGCCAAGATATTTTCATGGGAACATCTCTATCTGCTTGGAGTCAGTGGCAGGGGGAGACTTCCACATCAACTCTGCTGAAGGCAGATGCTGTCCTCGTAAGTTGTGCTGTCGGGGCTGAGCCTGTTCCAGCGATAGGGCCCCAGACTCTAGCCAGGTGTGTAATTGACCCAATTTGGACAAGCTGTGGGAGCTAATGAATTTGAGGAGCTCTTCTGGAAGTTTTGTCCAGGGACTTGAATCAATCTGGCAGCAAGACAGCACCCACTCCAGCCTCGCTCAACTTCATGGGAGGGGAAGGTGATTAAACACAAGTTTCTGGAGTGATTTACCTTCACGATAGCGGTTGTGTCAATCCACAGGCCTACTTTAATCCAAATGAGGCCAGAGCTGACCCCTGAAGATGCCAGGTGAGGTAGCTTCCTGCTCCCCCACCCTCTTCCTCCTCTCTCTTAATTGTGGAAATAGAATACTGACAATTTATTTTATTTTAAGATTTTATTTAAGATTTATTCATGAGAGAAACAGAGAGAGAGACAGACAGACAGACAGACACAGGCAGAGGGAGAAGCAGGCTCCATGCAGGGAGCATGATGTGGGACTGGATCCCAGGTCTCTAGGATCCCACCCTGGGCTGAAGGCTGCACTAAACCACTGAGCCACCTGGGCTGCCTGAACACTGACGTTTTTATTTTTATTTTATTTTATTTTATTTTATTTTATTTTATTTTATTTTATTTTATTTTATTTTATTTATTTATTTTATTTTATTTTATATTTTATTTTATTTTTTTAACACTGACATTTTAATGGCAGGTTTTCACACATCTAACTCTCTGGAAGGCATGAGTATGATACTGGAAGGACACACGGGCTTGCTTTCACTGACATCTAAGTAGATCCTCTTCTGGATTGTTCTCAGTATCACAGTAGGCCAGCAAAGGCAGTGGATAAACATGACAGCGACTGGAAGCCAGTCGTGGAAGAAATTCCTTTCCTTGTCCCTGAGGACCCTGGGGAGTTTTATGGACTCCTCCACATATCTTGCTTGGCAGAACATCAACCCGTTGGTGATTAAGGAGGAGGTCTCCTTACCCTTTAGAACATTTAGCCTGGAAGGGAACTTCAGAAATTCTCTAGTTGAGGAGGGCTGGGAGGTTTGGCCTCACTTTGAGGGAAGCTAAAAGGAAAGTTCTCTATTCTGCACAGCTTCCTTCTACCATCAGCATCATACCTGACTCAGCTAATAGAATTCTTCATCCTCCTAGGGAGTGGTAATCTGAGAAAACAGCCTGCCTGCAGATTTATTATATTGACTTTTTAGACATTAGAATGCATCTAAAGACAAAGGTAATCCTCACTGATGTAAGTAAAACAAAACTTCAAAAATGTGACTAAAAATCTTGGGCAATTAAATTCAACTTAATCACAGCAAATAAACCACAATATAATAAGACTGTGTAAAAAACCTTAATGACTTAGGTTATTTAGAGGTGTGTGTGTGTGTGTGTGTGTGTGTGTGTGTGTTTAGATTAGTTCCAAATAACCTATTTAACTATAAATGAATATATGAGTTACTTTGGCACTAAACGTTAAGATCAGAGAAGTGTCATGAGATGTGATTTCCAGGTCCTCCTGACACTCTTATAGTTGTGCATGTCTCACTGGTTTGCATTCTGAATCAACTACCCATGGATTATTTACAGAATATAAGGCAAAAAAAGTTTCTTCAGCTGGCAAGCGGGTAATAGAAAGTCCCCGGTAGATGCAGGCTGTTGGGTTACCCCAACCAGGAAACAATGTATAACTTAACCTGGGTTCCCTTTGGAATCATTCTGGCTTATTGCCGGTGCCTAGTTCCTGTCTAGGCATCACTGGTGTAGGCCTCTGGGAAAGACAGATAGCGATGTGGGTGGTCCAAAGACTCCCTGCAGTTGAGAATGACACCACCGAGAACCACAGGAGGCAGAGCTCTTTGAAAGTAGTTGTTTCTTTATTGCCCGTTTAAAGGGAGGCCATTTGTCTTACCTGACCTCTGTCTAGGTAGTAGGGAAAGGCACTGTGTTATTTTTGTCCCAAAGTATAATAAAACAATCAAATCCACTATCACAAAATGGCACTGACATCCTAATAGCCTGAGAGACTGACTTGTTTCTCAGAAGCAATAGAATTTTAGTCATAATACCACAGAGTAATATAATAGGAATTAAAACATTCTTAATGGCTTGTGGCTTCCAAAACACTTTCATACTCATTATCTTTTGAGCTTCATATCAATCCGTTGAGGCAGATAAGAAAAATTCTCCTATCCTCATTTTAGGAGCGGCTTCTTGTGTTGACGGGAGATGATACAGGTGAAAAAAAGAAGTTGAGAATTAAAGTGTGAAATGTTTCCAAAAGCCCTGGGCTTCTCAGAAGTTGAACCATCCACTTGGTCTGGGCTAAGATAAATTAAATAAATAAATGAAGTAAAGCCAGAGAAAGTAACCTTTTCTACTTAACCAGTAGAAAAGCAATGACTGGAAGTGAAACACTAGAGAATTTTTCACAAGAGTTTTTTTAACCGGGTCAAATCAATATATAATATTATATAAGTTCCAGGTGTACAACATTATAATTCATTATAATTTGTTATCTATATACTATCAGGTATCACCACAAGACATCTAGACATCATCCATCATCATATAATTGATGCCCTTCATCCATTTTGCTCACCACCTTCTCCCTTCCCCTCTGGTAACCACCAGTCTGTTTTCTGTATCTATGAGTTTGTTTTTGTTTCATTTTATTTGTTTGTTTGTTTATTGTTTTAGATTCTACATAAAAGTGAAATCATATGGTGTTTGTCTTTCTCTGGCTGACTTATTTTACTTACTATAGTACTTTTAAGATTCAAGGTTCTTCTATGTTGCCGCAAACAGTAAGACTTCATTCTTTTTTTTTTTTTTTTAAAGATTTTATTTATTTATTCATGAGAGACCCAGGCAGAGGGAGAAGCAGGCTCCATGCAGGGAGCCCGATGCGGGATTCGATCCCAGGACCCCAGGGTCATGACCTGAGCCGAAGGCAGACGCTCAACCACTGAGCCACCCAGGCATCCCAGACTTCATTCTTTTTTAGAGCTGAGTAATATTCCATTATTATTGAATATATATATATATGCACATACCTCATCTTTATCCATTCACTCACTGATAGATACTTAGACTGTTTCCATTTTTTGCCTATTATAAATAATGAACATAAGGTGCATATATCTCTTTGAATCAGCATTTTTGTATTCCTCATGAATACCAAGAAATGAAATAGCTTAATCATACGGTAGTTCTGTTCTTAATTTTTTAAGGAATTGCTATACTTTTTTTCATAATGGCTTCCCCATTTTACATTTCCACTAATAGTGCAAGAGGGTTCCTTTTTTTCTCCACATCCTCTCCAACACTAGTTATTCCTTGTCTTCTTTTTTTTTTTTAAGTTTTTTTTTTATTCATTTATGAGAGATACAGGGAGAGAGGCAGAGACATAACCAGAGGGAGAAGCAGGCTCCCTGTGGGGAACCTGATGCACTTGATCCCAGGACCCCAGGATCATACTCTGAGCTGGAAGGCAGACCTCAACCACTGAACCACCCAGGTGCCCTCCTTGTCTTTTTGATAATAGCTATTTTAGTAGATGCGAGGTGATATCTCATTATGGTTTTGATTTGCATTTCCCTGATGATGAGTGATGTTGAACATCTTTTCATGCATCTATTGGAAAAATGTCTATTCAGATACTCTTCCCATTTTTCCACTGAGTAGTTTTTGTTTGTTTTTGAATTGAATGAGTTCTTTATATATTTTGGATATTAATCCCTTATTAGATATATGATTTGCAAATATCATCTCCCATTCAGTAGGTTGATGATGACTTCTTTTGCCGTGCAGAAGCTTTTTAGTTTAAGGTAGTCCCATTTGTTTATTTTTTCTTTTCACCAGAGAAATGTTAATGTTTTTCAGATTACAAACCGTATTCCTCACAGTCACTAGCAAATACCCCATAGCTCTCCAGATCTGGTTAACCACTTGTATTGCCCAACAAACATATTTTAAGCTGTTGAAATCCTTAGTCTGTGTATTTCTGGCCTCTGAGGCAACAGTGATGTCAAACATCCGAGAGATTTCCAGATTAACCAGCCTGAAACTGCCACCTGCTTTCCAGATTCCCTCTTT